ATTGGTGCGTCCCGTGCTGATACGTGTACGGCGTTTTGTTCTTTCTTTTTGAGATCGGTTAACTCTACTCGCCAACAGCACGAGTGCTTCCACTCGTTGGCGCGTCCCGTGCTGAGGCTGACAACACATATGCAGCACGGGTGCTTCCACTCATTGGCGCGTCCCGTACTGATGCATGATTTGTGGTATTTCCTACCGCTGCGTTGAATTCGGTTAACTCTACTCGCCAACAGCGCGAGTGCTTCCACTCATTGGCGCGTCCCGTGCTGATACATGTACGGCGTTTTGTTCTTTCTTTTTGAGATCGGTTAACTCTACTCGCCAACAGCACGAGTGCTTCCACTCATTGGCGCGTCCCGTGCTGAGGCTGACATCACATATGCAGCACGGGTGCTTCCACTCATTGGCGCGTCCCGTACTGATGCATGATTTGTGGTATTTTTCTACCGCTGCGTTGAATTCGGTTAACTCTACTCGCCAACAGCGCGGGTGCTTCCACTCATTGGCGCGTCCCGTGCTGAATACATGTACGGCGTTTTGTTCTTTCTTTTTGAGATCGGTTAACTCTACTCACCAACCGCACGAGTGCTTCCACTCATTGGCGCGTCCCGTGCTGAGGCTGACATCACATATGCAGCACGGGTGCTTCCACTCATTGGCGCGTCCCGTACTGATGCATGATTTGTGGTATTTTTCTACCGCTGCGTTGAATTCGGTTAACTCTACTCGCCAACAGCGCGGGTGCTTCCACTCATTGGCGCATCCCGTGCTGATACATGTATGACTTCGTGTTTCGTTGCGTTGAGATCGGTTAACTTCCACTCGCCAACAGCACGGACGAGTGCTTCCACTATTGGCGCGTCCCGTGCTGGTGCGTGTCCTTGTTTTTTTTTATTTTCATTGAGATCACTTCCGCATAGACAATCCTACGGCAGGTTGACGAGTTTTTGGCATGCATCAATTGCTGTCCGGGCGTTTTTGGTCGCTTAATCGTCGATGGACGTGACGTATTCTTATAGAAGGTTTGTGTCACGGCGGCAATAAATTTGACGTGATGCCCCTCGAGACCGTGATGCACTCACATGGACCGCTACCTGACGTTCCTCGCGAGTTCGAACCTCGCGTGTCACATCCACCTCCCCCCCCTATTTTTTTCTCATCTTCTTTTTCCTTATGCATACAGCACGTAGTTCGCTGTCTCGTTTTTTTTTTCTCGTCTTCATTGTTTTTCAGTCTTTTTCTTTGAGTCTTTCTCTTGCATGCATGTGTTTTTGCTTTTATCCGTTCCCGTGAATGCTGTTGAATGCACTTTCCGATTACGTATGCGGCCGCTTTGTATGCCATGGGACTTGTCGATACCATCAGTGGGGACTTGTCAATACCATCCGTGGAGACGATTGCTTACGTGAGTGGGCATATTATCGTCGATTCCTTCAGCTATATGCCCCTCTGTGCGCGGCACAGACAAGATTGTACCGGCAAGTAGTCCCTAGTAAGCCGGGGGAAACAGAAAACAAGGCACCTGCCTCATGTGCATAATCGTGACAGCATCATGCCCTACTGCCGCGGGTCGATTGGTTATGTCCGATGCCGCAGGGTTCCTCCACCCCGTGCAGTACAATGGCTGCTATCAACCGCGACAAGTCAGCGTGCGACCATACAACAGGCCCCGCTCTTTCTTTTTGCCGTTGAATTTTTTCTTCAGAGAGAGTACGTCTGGTTGGGACGAACCGCATTTTTTTTCTTCAGCGAGAGTACGTCTCGGTTGGGATGAACCGCATCCCATGTTTGGGAAGGGACCTATCTGAGCGGCGCGGCGAGCGAGACTGCGTTGGCTTGCCGCCGCTTATCTTACTGCACCCTCCCCCCTCGTGCTAAATGCACGCAGCGGTGAGGTCACAAGAGTAGCGGGACGCGAATAGGAACACGGCCGACACGATGGATGTTGGACACGAGTACACACCTTTATATGGAGAGTCGCGTGCTGGTCACTTCCCCAATGCTTGCGCCGTGTCCCGTCCCGCCCTTTTCTAAACTGCCGCCGCTACTGCGTTAGGCGGCTGCTGCTGTCCTTCCGTTGCTTCACGCGCTCTGTAGCTGTCACACGTTACCCGACTTTGCTACAGCCCCTGCGTGGACTCGATCACGGAATGACACCCCCAACTATAGACTAATAATTCCAAACACCGTGACCCTGGGTTTCCGGTAGAAAATGAAGCCAAATTCTAATTCGACTGTTACAAAATAAACACCAGTTTATTCTATCTGCTTCGACGAACAAACCTTCCTTTTATTGTGAGAGTCAACATGTCCCGCGCCGGAGTCCGGGCTGCAGCTTTGTGGGGCTGCTTGCCCGGACTTGAGAATTTTCGACGATGCTTGATTTGCACGAGGAGGAACATCATGAATGAACAAACCCCAAATACGAAACAAATAGAGAAAATGAATGCTCGTATAGCTAAATGCTCAGTGAAGCCTCGGCTTAACCCTGCGCAGAGGTAACCGTTGCCAGGGCCCCCCCTTGCACGGTGCCCCCTTGGGGACCCTGTCGGGTCTGTCCGAGGGTTGTGACCATGCGACGAGGGTGACAGGGTATACCCTTACTGTTGTTTTTGCCAGGGTGGGACCATAAAATCGGTCCGCCTTTCTAGGTCACCACCCTGCCAAGGTCGAAGTGTAGCCCACCCTGCACATGGAGCAAAGTGGCTACGTGTGAAACCATGTCCTCACACGTTTGGAGTCACGGGCGACACTTTTTATCCATGCCGTCAACTTCGTTTGGAGCAGCGAATGTCATTTCGTGTCTGTGTTTGGTGTTTTGTGGAGATGGAACTGGAATTGAATGAGGTGGCGGTACTCAAAGCCACACTAGCCCTCGCCGTGGAAAGGGCCACCCAGGCCTTGGGCTAGAGCCACCCACGCCGCGAAGGAGCTAGAAGAAGGCAGACGGTGGCCGATGTTGATCGCGACCAGAGAGAGCGAGCTGAAAAGGTCGAAGAAGTACTTCAGCAGGGCAGTAGTTTTTGATGCAGTGTTAAGGAGGACCCGATTCGCAGGGTATCCGTCGATTGACTTTTACCAGAATCGGTACACCTTCGCATATGGCGTCAGCGGCAGGATACTGGTTCGAATCTCCTTGGGTGCACGTTTTTTCTCCTGACTTGGACATTTTCCCATGGACACCATGTGTGTCAGTCCTGAGAACACCTCTTGGAATCGATCCTATAAAGAACCTTGTGACACTTCCATCGAATTACCCGTCCTGGCCACAAGAGGTTCCCAGTTGAGGGTAAATTCTGTGGGTGGAGAGTGTTAAGGAGGACCCGATTCGCAGGGTATCCGTCGATTGACTTTTACCAGAATCGGTACACCTTCGCAGCAGTCCGACGCTTCGGGGGATCTGCCATCGATGGAGAAGTCACGGCTGTCGGCGGCACCGGCGGCAACGGTGGCAACGGCGGTGGAAGCCAGTCTGCTGCCATTGGGTCCTGGGGGTGGATCTGGTGGAGGTATGATGTGGTCGCAGGGGGGGTAAGTACGGCCGCACGGGGGAATGAATTGTCCCGATTCGTTCTTCTTGCCCGGCAGGAAAGATCCCCCCCGAAACTTCCCACAAACGGGAAGGGACTGGCCCAACTAACCTGGCGAACGCGGATGACGACCGTCTACCACCGCGAAAAAAAACGAGGCCCTGAGTCAGCCCTTTCTCTTCGTCTCTGAACGGTAAGCACCCACTACCCAACATGTGCACTGCGACGCTGATGTATTTCAACAAGCGACGGACACCTTAACGGTAAGAGAGGGTCTCGACACGACCATGCCCCAGCTGGGCAGACCCTCAAGACAAACGGCAACCCGCGGATGTCCATCCACAAACGCTGTGTCACCTTCTGATCGGGCGTGCGTTGGTTCCAGAGAAGCTTTTCGGAACTAATGTGCCAAGGCGTCACGAGATTCACGGCTTGCGAACTTGGATTGATGCACTAAACCGGTTAGGCAGAGAGGAGCGGGGCCATCTACCAAGGAAGAAACTCGTGCCAACGCGGAGCATCGTTTCGATCCGAACATCGGACTTGTGCAGGCAACCAATCGTCTTGTGATACATTACAAACCACGACGGAAGTCCAAGAGTTCGCTGGGTGTGAAACGCGTGAATCACGTCATAACCTTTCCAAAAATGGGGCTCAAAACAGTGCCTGCAGCAATTCGAAGCCCTGGGCTGACCCATCCCCAAGGGGGTATCGCCTTCGGGCATGTAAAACCTTTTGAATGCTACATCCAACCACAAGCAGGTTGCGGATTCTCTGATCTCCAGGAGGGGGCGAGGCCAGCGCTGCTTGCAGCCCTGACGGGCACAAGCATGTCGACCACGACGCGACGCTTTGCTGCTGGGAGACTACCGCGGTTGCAGGACCGCAGATACCGAGGTAAGTTGTCCACGCCTCCTTGACAATGCCCGGAGATTCGTGGGGTTAGACAGCGCCCGCCCCGCGGAATACCGCGTATACTTAAGTTGCATGCCCACAATGCACGGCAGAAATCACGCTCTGACCGACGATCCAGTTGGCTCCAACCTAACTTATTCCAGTCCGAGCATCGACGATCAAAACATGTAATCAAGCATGGTTTGGAGCATGTACCAAAAGGGGAGAGGGGACAGAACCGTCACAAATCCACTCGAACCCACGACGAGAACGAGCGAGGTCGTTCATGGGAGCTTTCGGTGCGGCGTTAAAACTGTCACCACCGTGCAAGACGCTCACTCTGTCCCGCACGTCCATCCCGACAACCCGCCGTCGTATCGCCACTGCCAAACCTCCACCGTAACTATCAGCCGGAGAATAACCCAAGGCGACAGAATAGCAAGCCACAACCGCCGAACCAACACAAGGGCACGAGTACCACTGGTACCCAAAAGTACAGATTCCGCCACTTGTACCAGCAGTAGATCCAAGGTACCAGGGTGGTCGTGAACACTCCAATCGTAGTATTGATACAAATCACCTCAGAGCCTGGGGGACGGTGTTGCGGTCCCTCGCCAGCTGGGCCACCTGCACGCGCAGCTTCTCGAAGTTCTGAAGCCACTTCCTGCAGAGGAGGGTAGGCGAAGCGTGGCGGAAGGCATACGTACGTGGGTCCTCAACAAACAACGGTGGAGACTGTAGCGTCACAGCAACAACAACAACAGCGCCCATTCACCGAACGGGTTCGCAAGCCGCAGAGACCATCGATTGAGCGGCAACCAAGACCAAAAGGCGAGCTCGTAAACCTCGCACCTCTCGCCGGCACCAACGGGCTTTGGCGCGTCATTGAAGAAAGCCTCGAGCTCCGTGAGGTGTTCCGGGGTCCGTGGTCCCATAACGGCACTGCCGACAAGCATAGGCCAGATGAAACCTGGACCCGTGTTTCAACATTCCAAGAGAAGGGGGTGAGGATTACACACACACGAAAGAGACAAGAGTGTCCGACGGACGGGAGAGCGGGATAAACTGGAGCAAGAATCACCAAGCTGTCGAGGTACTTCTAGGCAAACGACAAGCCAGGACGGAGGTACGAAAAGGAAGAAAACAATAGGCGACCAATCGGAAATGACGTAGGGAAGTGGGAAGGGAGGACGGTGGGATTGGAGGACGGGATGAACTCATTGTCAGACCATGGACAAAAAATCACACCAGTGTAGCATTCATGACAGCATCCCCCTGCATCCCTGTATCATTCTCCGTCTGTCTGTCTATCTCCCCTGCACTCTCTCTCTGTCTCTCTCCCCACATCTCTCGTCGTGCGTCCAAAGCGCACGTTTGCTACACATGTTCCAGCAACCAACCAAAGAGGCCCCAAAGCGGCAACGACATCTACCTGTGTCCGAGAAACGATCGTGTAGCTCGACGTAGCGCTCACGGAAGGCCGTCCACACCAGCTTGGAGCCAAGCGCGGAGGTCGCCAAAGACGCCAGGGACAGCCCGGCGTCCTGCAGACGTACCTGTTGGAGCGACCAAAACACGAAAAAAGTCCACAGAGAAGGACAGGCGACATAAGCCGAAAGTGTGAGCATCAGGACGACACCAGAGAGCCAAAAAAAATAGGCGCTCTTAGATCACTTTCTGCTTCTGAGTTGAGACTCGGTTCGCCCACCTCGCTCATCAGGGTCCCCGCCAAAGAGGTCCAACACACACACACACACACACGAGACCCACAAGCCATGGTAAAGAGGTGTCCCCCACGCTTCGTGGAAGCGCGGACGTCTTCACATTGGCCTGTATCACGACCACGCTTGTGCGTGCCGCTCAGTCGTTGTCTCCCTCTCAAGAGCCCCCTTCAAATACACTCTGGTAAACGCTTATTAGTTAGGACATGGTACACGCGCACTAAATAAAGCCATCACGACACCGTAATCCTTGAGATGGACACCACGGCAATCTCCGCGAGCCGGGCACGGCTTGAGCCGGAAGGAGTTGGAGCAGACCCGGTTTCGTAAGCAACCTTGAGGACAAGCGGTGCCATTCGCGGATGGATTTCGCACTAATGGTAGTCACGCACTTTTGGCAATGACATGGAACAAGGTGCCCGTATTCGCACACGGGCCAAAAGTCGCCACCCGAGACACTCACGCACGCGTTTTCGTTTGGGAAGATATACGTGGGGGATTTTTTGTCCTGAGGCTTGCAATACTAATTTGACGGTTTCAATCCAACTCCACAGACCAAAGGCCGAAGTTATTCACTCTGACGACAGGTAAAAGGGACGAGTGTACGATGGGGCAACGCTTTTCCGTCTGAACAGGAGGCAAGTCCTCACCCCTACCACGCGCACGTCACTAGACTATGGCTCAACCACGACCACTAATCCATGAACGTACCTCTCCCGAGTCGAGGATAAAGCCCATGGCTTCGGACAGCAGGGCGGCGTCCCTGGCCTTCCCGATGGCGCTGAGGCACTGGCGCTTCTCCTCTCCCGAGTCACTCGTCCTGTAGATCTCGATCACCTTGCATTGCGTCGTGCGAAGCAGCCAGTTGTCTCACGTATGTTCAGTCAGTTTATTACCTAGCACGATAGGGTCGGCCGCAAACCCCTTTTCACCCGTTAGGTCTTTCCTTCGAGAGAATAAACTCTTAAAGCATTGAATTGTCGAGGTACTGTGGAGCTACTGCTGGTTCCGGGGGGAAACGCAGAATACACTCGTCTGTAGTGCTTCCCACAGCGTGTGTTCTCTGCTGCAATCCGCTGACAGTGTGCTCCGAAAAAAAAAAGTGCATCTGCTGACCCCTGTAGTCTAAAATCAAGTCATGTACTCTTAAACCTAGATTAAGCGAACAGACTGTACAAACTCTTTTTTCTGGATGGAGCCTATATTGCGCTGTCTCCTCAGGCAAGATTAGAAATCTCGCTTCGCTCGAATAAAACGCTCACTTTGTTAATTAACAACAACGCCCAACTTCGAACACCTACAATATCGAGAAGATCTTTTGTCAGCAGCTTTGTGTCGGGACCCACGACCGTGGCCGTTCAAGGCTTTCGAGGATACCTCTTGGTCACCTGAGAGGCTTGATGTCTAGGTAGAGCACGATGGATCTATGGTTGGTACGTCTGCAACCTGTCGGGGAACTCGGCTCCGACCGTTCGGAACATCAGTCTGCGGGACGCGGAGACGCTCTGCATGCTGTGGAAGCCTCTCCACAACAACAACAACAACAACAGTAGAAACGACGACTACAACAACAACAACAACGTCACCGCACCTGCCGGAATGCCGAGTCTCCCCTTACACCCACCGCGGTCGCCAGGATCACGTACCTGTGTCAACAAAGTGAAGAGAAACAATTCGTGGCAAGCGAAATCGAGTCATCACTGGCTCCACGGAGACAGACAACACGCAAAGGCTAAATATATTGCATCTGCGAGCTCAAAGCTTACATACGCAAGGATTGAAAACCGCCACCTCTGCTGGTCCACCACGAAAAAACGTCAAGTAAAGATATCTGTTTCCACCCTGAGTCAACAAGAGGGCGGCCATGACAACTGCCCGGCCAAGCGCCTTCAGGCACTTCTATAATACTACTGCTGCTGCTGCTGCTGCTGCTGCTGCTGCCACTGCTACTACCACTACTACCACTACTGCTGCGCATGTAGGCCATTTTACCGGAGGTCAGCCGGCGGAGCGCTCCCGGCTCTGTCGTTCACGTAGGCGTCGAACCTCCTGAGCGCTTCCTCGTCCACCTCCACCGACCCCGACAGGTGGAGCGTCCGGAGCAGCAGCGGCCGCAGCGTCGCAACTCGCTGGCGGTTTGTTTTCGTTTGTCGTGGGAATACGGTATTGGTTGTCCCGTGGAAGCGTGCACAGACTGCAAGACGACAAGATCTAGTCGCCCTTGCCATGTTTTGAATGGCAGTGTGGTAGACAAAAAGGAAAACAAAGCCATGACAAGAAAGGGACAGAAAGCGTCCGGAACGGGAGCGGTTGCACCGCTTATCTGACGCAGTGACGCAGTTTTCTCTGTATGACATGTGCTGACGTACTGTACTGGGGGGAGGCACGTAAGGAAGAGGTAGAAGAGAGAGCGAAAGAAGGAGGTAAGGTTGGGGCGGATTTACCATGGTCGCTGCCCAACTGATTCACCAGCATCATGCCAACGAAAATCGTGCGGGTGCGCGTGCGTGTGAACGCGCGGTAGCCCCGGGCGCAAGACCGGCGGAGGGTCCAGGCATCACAAACTGACGAACTAATTGCCGGCGTGATACGGCTTCCTCTTCGGTGATGCTGCTTGGCACTGCTGCCTCTCTAAAAAAACTCACAAAATGAAACGGTCCCGTGGCTACACATCGGTATCCATGGATGGATGCGTGCATGAAGGGGGGGGTACCTGTGGCTCGCCCTCGGCCGCCGTCCAGGTGATGGACTCCCACATGGGCAGGCAGATCGACCGGACCAGCTCCTGGAACTTTCCGAAGAACGTTTCCTACGAACGAAACAGAAGGGGCAAAGGAATCGCGCCCGAGCGACGACGACGACGACGAATTAAATACGGGTGAACGCGTGTTCGAGCAGTGCAAGCAAGGGGGGGGTACAAAATGAAGGAAGAGTAGCAACGAGAGAAATATAACGCCTTCAAGTTTGAGAAAGAGGGTGGTGAAATGCTTGCCGTTAATTTTGTGTGGTACACAATTGTTCGTACGGACACTAGTTTAGGGTTCGCTAATACAGTCCAATAATAATTAGGATAATAACAACACAAAACAATACGGCGGTCTGGAATAGCTCGGATCCCGACGCCCTGCGGCCAAAAGCATCTTGGCGCAAGCTATGCCGAAAACGTTAAATCCCCATCTATTTTCCGATCGTCGATTACGCGGGGTTCCGTGAAAGTGGCGTCACACTGCTGACAGCCCCTGGCTGCTAGGAGTATTTATGCATATCACACCGAACCCACACTGCACATGCACGTCCTGCCCGTACATGTCAACCGCTTCCGAACATGAAGCGGGGCGGTCCAAGAGGAAGGATGCGACAAAAAAATGCTAAACCGAACAACGAGGGTGACCAAAACTAAAAGTCAGAAAGCACAATAACAATCTCTACCCTATTGCCCTCTTCCCTACCCACGCCAGAAAAAAATAGACACAAACAAACAACACACTGTCGTTTGTAGTAGGTCTACATACGCACACGAAGAGAAGAAAAAGAGACGCTACCATTTGCGTCACCCCCTCCTTTCTACCCTGAAATGAACTCCGAGGTCCGTTGAATCACACCACGAAAAGAGCAAAAACGTATGGCACCAACATATCAGAAAAACCGGAAGAACCACGTCCTCTCCCGCCCCTCTGTGACTTGTGTCGCTATTTCTTCCCGGTCCAAAAGCAAATCGATACCACATCGTTGTGCCGTTGCTATTTTCACTTGGAAACATAAATTCTTTCCTCAAAAGTACCTCCTAATAACAGAACCATGCTGGTCCAACCGACCTGGACGCTTTCCGTGGTCACACGCCAATCATCCACCCCCCCAAAAAGGACACACACACATACACGGAAGAAGAGTCCCTCTCTGATATGTACCTGCTGCAAGACGCAAAAAAATCAACAAAAAACATGCACACACCTCCGAGTAGAGCGAGATGAGGTCCAAGAGGCTGGACACCACCGTCTGCCGCACCAGGCTGTCCGGGTCGTCCCTGAGCTTGGACGCCAGGCCCAGGGCCACGCCCGTCGACGCGCGGCCGGCCGCCGCGAGGGAGAAGGCGTCCGACACCGCTCCCGCGCGGTCCGCCGGGGATATGGCTCTCGTTTGCATGGCCCTTGTGGGGATTTGTGACGTGTGGTGGGTCGTGTTGCGGTGCGCGGTGCGGGCGGAGGGCGAGGGCTTGCCGTGGTGGTGGTGGCAAGAGTAGGCATGTGTTCTACCGGAGGAGAAAAATGTGTGAACCAGTATGAAGTAAAGTGGCTGGGAACGATGGTGGCAAGGCAGGTAAGCCGGCACCAAGATATTTAGTTCGGGACGGGAATGGACAAGAACGTAGTGTTCCTACACGTGGTTTCCCAAACCGCTGCTCCGAGTGGTATACATAGAGCAAAGAACGAAGCCCCGCTTATCTACCTGCTGAGGTTTGTCCAGCCCCCTTCGTTGTAGTTCACTTTGAAGAACCCGCGTTGCCCGGCGTTTATCTAGTTGAAGAACAAAGAGCCCGGAACGAAATTCGGGCAGCAGGTCAACCAGTTAGCAAGGAGCATGCAGGATGATACAACAGGAAGGGGGTGCGACGCACGCAGACTGCGCAGACAAACCGGTTGTCTGTACAGTCAGCATGGCGAGTCCATCGATCGCCCACCATGTTCCATCACTCTGCAATCGCTTATGTAGACCTCGAGCCTTGCACATCTCGGTCACTGTCATTGTTCCACAAGGAAGAGAAGCGCCAAAAGGCTAGAATGGGGGAAAGCGGTGGTAATAGTAGATTCACATGTGCGGCAGATGCGGAGAGACCGAGACAGATGAAGTGATCTACAACGGCAAACCCAATTTTTTCGGCGGGGTCGCGCCCTAGCGGAAAGTCGCTCGCCTCTGCCCGCCTCCTCATCAACCGAACACGGCCAAACACCGCGGGAAGAGGGGAACATACGGGCACGCAGACAGACAGCCATTAGGCGGTCGTTGTACACCACACGATGAACAGCTAACTCCCAGGCCGCCGCTTCACCTTGAACCACTTCCCCGCCGCCTGAAGCTCTTGCACCTTCTCCTTGAGCTTCCGCCCTCCCTCAGCCCCCGACTCTCCTTCCAGCATCACTACCAGTTCCTCCCCCTCGCCCGCGCCCTCCCACACCACCCTGGCGGGGATGCGCCAGACCGTCCCCTGTCCCCCATCATCCCCCTTCGCGGATGCGGCGGTGGCGGTGGCGGGGTCTTCTGCCATCGCGAGGAAGCGCGCCTGGGAGGTGCTGCCGTCCTCCGCGAGGGTGAGAACCGGGTACCCCACCTTCATTTTTTGTTGTTGAGCAGACGGGAGGATTGAAGGTTCAGAAAGGGATACTGTACGACAACGATTGCAAGAAGAAACGACAGCTGGGAGTGACAACGGGGAGAGAAGGAAAAAGGGCGTATAATAGCTGCAATATTTAATAAAAAGGGGTTGTGATGGGGGATAGGTCACTTTCGGCACTATGATCTCCGACAGTAGGTGTTTATTGCGGGTGCGTACCATCGAGCGAATCGCAGGGCGGCGCTCACACCACACCACACCACACCACACCACACCACAGCAAACCATACCATGCCGTATGGCACCGAACCTTCACCATACCATACCACACCACAGCAAACCATACCATGCCGTATGGCACCAAACCTTTACCATACCATACCATAACACACCACACCACAGCAAACCATACCATGCCGTATGGCACCGAACCTTCACCATACCATACCATACCATTAACACACCACACCACGCGATACCGCACCACAACATGCCTCATCACATCGCGCCCGCACTCTCCGCGCAACAGTTCTATCCCGTACCAGCACGCGAAAAAGAGAGAGCAAAGAGAGAGCAACAGCCACGACCAAGCACGACAGAACACAACGGCACTCACAAACACCAACAAGAACCAACCTTCCGGGTCCACGTGTCCATGAGGGCGCCGACGTCCTTGCCGGTAACGTTCCCCAGGGCCGCCCAGAGGTCGTCCGAGCGTGCGTTGCCGTAGCTGTGCTTGACCAGGTAGTCGTGGATGCCTGCATGCATACACCGCGTCATTACGGCGGTGTGTGTACATCGTTTGGTTTCGTAGAGACAAAGGAGGTCGTACGTGTTGCGAGGTTGTCGCAGGGGGCACGACGGACAGCAGTATCTGGGCCCCTAGCACATACGCCCTTTCTCCCTGTCGGTGAACGAAATCATTTCCTGTGCGCCAGATGCAACAAAAAACGCACACAAGACAACACACCTCGCATGAACTCCGCGACGCCCAGGTGTCCCGCGAGCATACGGATGACGCTGGCGCCCTTCGCGTACGAGATCGCATCGAAGATCTCGTTGATCTGATCCGGGTTGTCGACCTACGTTTTCGTTCGCGTGGTAAGGGAAAGGGTAGCGGGCAAGGGGGGAGGGTGCTTTCGCTTTCACTACCAATCATCGTAGAATGAAATTGTGTCCGAGATATAAGCGTTGGCTGCTACGCCTGTAGCCCGCCTTCTGCACGCTACAGCAATCTTGCTTTCCCCACAGAAAAAACTCACCTGCTCTTCTATCATGACGGCTGACTGCCAAACTTCTCACAGACCTCTATGAGAGGATGGGTACAGGCGGGCGCCGTGCTGTCTTGTTTTGGTTCGTTGAACCCGGTGAGTGGCATATACATGGTTGTTCCCGTTGTCGTTGTGTGTGGGAAAATGTGTTTTCTTAACTAGCGTCATATCATATCGAAAAAGACGTCATGTCTTGTATCGGGATAGAATACACCAACAATTTCTCCTAATCAAAGGGCAAGGGTTCTACCGACAAGTTTCTGTCTATCTGTCTGTCTGTCCGTCTGTTCGTTTACAGTAGGCATACGTATTGTCCGTTTGTCTGTCTGCTGTTTCGCACCTTGACTTCGATGGGGTGCGAAGCGACGAGGGAGTCCAGCGCCATGGCCTGCGGAAACACCATTGAGTCGAAGTCTGCACCATAGCGCCGCCACCGCCGCCACCGCCGCCGCCACCACACCGTACCGACCGACCCAGGCACCGCCAACCCCCAACCCACGGTAACCGCCATGCCGCAGGCGACAGAGAACACACACGCGGAGCGGCGTTCGAAGAGCAGTGGTACATCAGCGTGTAAGACTAAGCCCACCAATCATTGAAGCAACAACATTGTGTAGTCGGAAGCAAAAATCAATCGTTCAACAGCACCAGCTGCGGTGTCGTGTGCTTAGTGACCCTTTCTACATTGCAACACTTTCCGCTCGCGAGTGCGCCATGAGTCGAGGCGGTGGTGATCAACATACACCCTTTGGGTTTTTTCCAGATCTCCCCCACTCACGGCACGGGCATGCGACGTGCTGGGAAAAGTCGAGGCCAGCCGCCCAAGCTCGGCACGACGCAAGGCTGCGCGGCACACAGAGTGGCACCGCCGCACGAGGGACAAACACCAACAAAATACGGCAACAAACACATCACATATCACATGGTATATGCACTACGGTACAAACGGTTAACAGGCTTGGCACCAGGCGTGCGGCGTGTATGTGTCTTTATTATTAGCATCGACCGCGCTAACAGGCTGACCAATGAAAAGACGTCAGTCTTAGTGCGGTTGAAAACACAAAACGCTTCTATCTGCCATGAACTGGGACCCCGAGAGGGTGTGTGTGTGTGCCTGTGTCATGAGTACATACCTGACCAGATGTCCCACTCGGGAAAGATGTGGTCCACCGCCACGAACTCCATGTACCTGCAAGGCGTACAGAGCACGATTGCGGGGGGGGGGGAGGGGGAGCAATCAAGTAATCAAGGCGTAAAGACCGGCCGGGAAGAGAGACTGGCGAGGTGTACAGACATGCTTCCTGGCCTCTCGACTTCCAGCCCCCGGACTACTGTAGCTCTCGCGAACCCTATCCTACCCCGATCCCGCCACGCTTGAAACGAGGACGACGACATCGGCCAGACATCATGCTCTCACAACACGACTTTCTACCGGCTGGGGCGACGCCGAACACCACTATCATCACCGTCACTACCACATCACCATCACCGCTATCAACACCAATACCACCACCATTACCACCACAGTAACAGCAACAGTGGCTAAGACGTGCGCATGCACATGAAGCAAAACCCCTTGCCCAAGTCGGATCCGAAACACACACTATGAACATCTGATTCCACACAATGAATGCACCTCTCGGACATGCCGTCTTAAAAAAAAACTCGAGGTCAGTTCCAATGTTCAAATACGATCAAGGCTCCCAAACAACCCCCCCCCCAATCCCAAGAACAACCACGAAACCCCTCCTAACGGGTCGGCTACACCCCCCACCCCACCTCGCGAAGCCCTCGTTGAGCCAGAGAGCGTCCCACCACTCCATGGTGACCAGGTTTCCGAACCACTGGTGTGCCAGCTCGTGGCACACGGTCCGGGCGATGGCCTTCTTTGTGGCGGTGGAGGAGGTGGCCTCGTGTACCAGCAGACGGGCCTCCCGGTAGGTCACGCAGCCCCAGTTCTCCATGGCCCCCGCCGCGAAATCTGAAGGGGGGCGAGGGGAGGGGTCCCGCGAAATGTGGATCAGTTTGTGTGGATGGGTAAGGGTTCACCCGAGATGTGGATGGGTGAGGGGTCCCGTGAATTCTGATCGGGTGAGGTCCCCGCGAAATGTGGATGGTTGAGGGGTCCCGCGAAGTATGAATGGATGAGGGGTCCCGCGAAATGTCGATGGATGAGGGGGCCCCGCCAAATCTAATTGGGTGAGGGGTCGCGCCAAATCTGGACGGGTGAGGCGTGAGGCGTCGATCGTTGTTGCTGCTGCTGCTGTGGTTGTGGTTGGTGGCGAGTTTCAGGTGTTGTAGTAGCGTGTGGTGTGTGGTACTCTTCTTGGGTAGTTGGCCTGTGATTACGGCAGGCGTCCGCGTCAGTTGGACCGGTGCGGATGTTAAAAGGTGCGCAGCAGAGACAGGAATGTTTATTTTTTAAGGTGAATACAACAACAACAACAACAACAACAACAACAACAACGTCCCATGCATGGTGAATACATTCTTTACACCCTATCGACCAATTCAGTTGAATGAAGTGAAACTACTCAGTGAATGGGGAGGGAATGAATTGAACGTATGTAACGCCGGCTGCCTGCCTGTACAAGAACACAGATCAAGGAGAGGCACCAGGCTGAGACAGAGAGTAAACATGGCCATGAAAAAATGTGCGTGCGTGTGTGCGTGTGAAGCGTGGTTGGTGTATACCTGGGATGGCGAGAAGGTCACTCTTCTGAAGAGGGTAGGGCACCTTGAACACCGTCTCCGCGTAGTACTCTAGCGCCTTCGACGCCACATGCAGAGCGAATCGCCCCTGATCTCGACAGTCACATCAGACCGAGGAAGAAAATTCACCACAGTACAAGAAACACGGAACAGACACAAAAAAACGCGTAAAGTTTTAAGCCTATCCGAAACACGCGTTACAAGATGACAACACGCACCAATGAGAAGTAGAATAAACAATATTCACGAGCAGCCGTTGGTACCTCCATTTGGCCTGTCGATTTCCCAGGCTAGCACTGTTACAATTAAGAGCGGTGGCGGTTGTGAGCGAAGGAAACGAAACTTATGAGGTGTATTGCGATGCTGAGCACACGATGAGGCAGAGGAACAAAAATGTTAAGTACCATTCAAGACGCTCAGCAGGATCTGTCTGTACCTGCCCGTAACGAGAAGAACGATCAGGCTCCCGCTGGTGCTTTTAACAAGAAAAACAAAGTAATAGCAGCGATCGGGGTACCGAATTTGCTGGGGCTCACCCCCTCCCATATTCAACGGACGTGCAGCGCCTGCTGAAGGTATCTCCTCCCCCTATCCGTCGCACCTGCTCCGCCTTTCCAACCGGCGTGTACACGGTCGTCAACACCCCGGACGCGTTGTACGCCGACACAAAATCGAACTCCCCGATCACCTGAGCATAAAAAACAATGCGTTTGCAAGGGGATCGGTAAGGAGAGAAGGAGGGAGAGTTTCGAAAAAAGTAGATACATGGCGGGTGGTGGCTTCCAAGCGGATAGAGAACGACAAGGAGAGATTTCGCACAGCTTGAGACATAGCTTCGTGTGATGCAGGTACTTTCAGGGTAAACAGTGCGCAAAGCTCGGCAGCTAGGATCAATTTGATCGAAAGTATGTACAGCTCGGATCGTGAATCTTGGCTAATCCTCTCCAAGAAAAGTCTCTGTCGCAACCCATGCATAGTGCCTTGGCAAATAAACCATGTAGAAAACAGTTTCCGATACAATACCACAGCAGTTCAACCCCGAAAAATTATGCCATGCTGACAAACAGATGAAAAAGGCAGAAAGCAGGCGCACCGCTCGAGAGATATCTAGACCTTCCGAGATGGCGCACGAACAAATAAAGCAAAATCCACCGGCGGCGAGGCTAGAGGAGTTCAATACAGACACGGGAGCAACGAGAAGAAAAGAGGGCACTGGCGCAGTTGTCTCGAGGCGAAAGGTTTAGAGAACAAACCTGCCCACGGTGTATTCAGGTCTGACGAGAGGGTGTAACCATGCAGCCGTAGAGGGCGATGCGCGTTGACTCCCTCTCTCGCGCAGCAACGCCGAAACCAGCCGAGGCGAGCGGAAAGACGGTCGCGGCAAGCTAGAGTACGACACGACACAACGAGTCGCAGACCAAGCTTTCGCGCAACACCGCCCGCCGCCTTAACCACCCACCAACAAAAAAAACAACATCATCAACAACAACAACAACAACAACAACAACAACAACAACAACAACAACAACAACAGCACCAACACAGCCACAACCACAACTAAACACCACCAACCACAACTAAACACCACCAACACCAATACCACCTACGACGACGACAAACACCAACAAAACACAAACAATTCACTTCCCGAAGCGGGGCGAAGAAAAAAAAAACGACGAACGCGAAAGCAAGAAAGCAAGAAAGCAAGAGCAGGCCTCCCTCACCAGCGCCAGGAGGTAGGTGGACATGACGGGCGTCTCCGCGAACCTCCACCTGCGGCGCCGCTCCTTCCTGCCCGAAGGGAGCTCCGCGGTCTCCTCGTTGGACATCATGACAGGGGTGTTGCTCACCACTCGACGGTCGAGGGGGGCCAGCACCTCCAGCTCGAACCTGGCGACGTGCACGACGCGAAAAAAAACACTATATATATATACTGTACATGTTTTCCAAGTGTTTGTGTATTTTACACGCATGTAGAGCGGTTGAAAAACGGCGACGGACTAGACACGCGTGTGTTCGACTTGACGTCAAACGGAATCGCTTTCACACGAACACACCGAACCGTACGCATGTATGCCACAATTTTGTTGCGGACCCCCCTGACGTGCGTGAGGTCACACGAACAAAACACCACACACATCTTGAAGTAGGTACAAATAGGCAACCTGTGGTCTCAGGGGGTGGTGGTTCGGTAAACACCCCCCCATAGGGTCAGGGTTAAGAGAGGGTGCCGCCTCCTACTTGTTGTGAAATTTCCTTTTTCTTCTAGACGGACACGCTTCGTATTTTCACTCGTGCCTGGGAATATCTACGGTAGCTGTTGGTGGGCTGCTCCGGAATACCACGACTCGTTTCTTCCGGAATCGAACTGCTGTTGCGGTGGGCGTTTAGACCACGAAGATATGAGGGGGCGGTGCGGGGGAAACGACTCGTGTATCTTCCTAAAGGCCGCGGGATAGACTTGACTATTAACAGCTGAGCCACTTCTGCGACAAGCGGCACCCACCACCATCAACCGAAACAACCATCACCATCACTACCACCACCCGTATTGTAGCAAATTCGTCCACTCCTAGACGTCACCCACGGGGAGGGTCCTCGCGGATGAAGATAAGTCCTCTACCTTTTTTGCACACGGTACCGAACACGCCTTCACCATCGTCCCGTTTTCGTTTCCCGTTTTCGACGCCCGCCAGAAAAATCACTCACTCCGCGCACCCCGCATAGGTCTCGCTCGTCCTCTCTATACCCACGGGACCCCCGAACCCCGAACTGGGGGGTCGGCGACGAAGCCGACAAGGACGCCTCCAAAGGGGGTGGGCGTGTGGGTTTTCTTCTGACGTGTGCGCTGCCTGGCGTACGCCGCGCTCCGACAGATCGTTTTCCATTTGATCCATCGAACGGGTGTTTTTTTCGTTCGTTTGTGAAAAAAGAAGGAAAAAAAGAGAGAAAAAATGTGCAAAGTCTCTTCTTGTGATTTTGCCTTACGGAAACAATAAACGGATTTTGTTTCTACATCTCCGTATGACAAAAACAAAACGTAAGGGTATGTATCGCTGTCACTATCTTGTACACATCCTTGGAGAAAGGCCCGTCGTTCCGACACAAGCCAGCGCTGCGCCATGTAGCGGGCCAGCGCTATCGTCCACAACGGCAAAGCAGCCCGGGGGTACACAGGCACCAACAAGCAAGAGACGCTCTTGTCGGCCCAGTGATGGAGTCAGCACACCTGGCCTTGATGGCGGGCTCGTCCCAGCACGGGAAAGCTCTCCTAGCGTCGGTGGCCTCGAACTGCGTGACGGCCATGGTCTTGGTCTCTCCATCGGGGCCCTTCGGGTTGGTTTAAGAAACCAAAACGTAGGTACCACGTAACAGAAAGTGGCAGCAGCGGCGGGGGGAGCAGCATATCACGGAACAGGAAGAGGCGGCAGGAGCAGCAGCAACAGCAGGATCAGACTGGTGGATTTGCTCTGTAGAGAATGGTCACTGAATGTCAACAGGTAGATGAGTTACGGTGTATGCTGATCAGAGGGCGGGGTTCGGACACCGGAAAAACACAGCTACAGCAGCAGCAGCAGCAGCAGCAGCAGCAGGTGTATCATAACCACAGCGTAGTCGAAGACAACTGCGTGCACCGCTAATAGGGAACAGGAGGGATTTAATGGCAAAAAAGGAACGTGATTAGGCAGAGAAGTATGCCTCTTAGGAGCAGGCGAATCGACAGCAATGAATGAGGGGCACAGAGGGGAAAACCTAAAACAACAACAACAACAACCAACAACAAAACACACCATTTTTCGCCACCATAGGTTGAGACTCACGGTGTACTTGGACCGATAGAGGCCGGCCAGCTTGTCGTTGATGCTCCCCTCGAAGCTCAGCTCGAGCTTGACGCCGCCCACCGGGAGAGCCTCCACGAAGCAGAGGGTCACGGTCTGGGCCTTCGAATCGTACTCAGTCCTCACCGTCGACAACTAACCGCCGGGGCGGGAAGACAATGCCGGCCAAGAAACAAGCAATTGAGAGTCATGCACGGGTGCCTTTGACGGCTTCATCAGGGACACAAGCACCTAGGCGTAGCTCCGCCCCCCAGGCTTGGAGAGAGAGCGCGTTCCGGGACACAACACGTGTAGGTATTTCTTTTCCTGCTGCCGGTCACACCTTTTTCTGGCCGCCGCCGGCTTTGCCACCACCACCTCCATCATCCATCACAGCCTCCGCCGAAGTGACCCAGAGCTCAAGGGCGTGCAGCTCCACCGTTTTCACTTCCGACTTGACCTGGGGAACGAAATCGGCGGCATCATGCGAACGACGAATCGATTCAGGTTTAACGCGTATTTCTTAATGTTGTCTTGTTCCGTATCAGGGGTCCAGCAGGAACAAAAAGGCGATCTCCTCTCTCACGCTGCTGTCCCCACCATGTTGCTATAACCAGCTGCCTGTCAGATATAGTTCAATGTTGTAGATAAACAGTCGGGAGCGGGAGAGGGTATGGGTGCAATGCGGCTGCGGGGCGTGTAGATCACCATAAAAACATGGTGGGAACGACAGCAGCAGCAATATTCGACCAAACAATCAGCAGATCGCCGGAGGATCAGGCAGGCGCACCGGGAGTGCTATGTGCTGTAGGCCAATAACAACCCTAGCAAGAGTCCAGATGAATTGCGAGGCTACATGTAGACCGGCAGAAATAACTCAACCGGACAGACCGAGCTGTCTGTGCGTGGTGCACTCATCTTCCCAACAGCCAACTACAGCAGCCAGAACAAATTCGTTTTCGGTGTGCGTGCTAGATGAGCTGTCAACAGGGGCCTGCCCTCGCGTCTACAACAGGATGCACGTATCGCGCACAAGTCGTCCGCAGAGGGAAAGCGATACCATTAATAACTTCTGTCGTTGAGAGCCTCTTTTCTCGTCCTTCACGAGGGTATCAAGATCAAACCAGAAAGCAACGCCACGGCAGCAGCATCTTTTTCGTTCGTGTAGTTGGAAAGCGGCATATCTTTCATCTCGGGTCACCCACGGACTTCTTCCTGCGCGTATCACGTACACCCTTGTACAACCATCTTGATCGACACATGTATCTTGAAGCATGCGTCTCTCTGTTGAATGTGAGTTGGGACCCACTGCCTGGGGGAGCCTGTCGTAGTTGCTTCTAACACCAGAACTACCGGCCACATTCACACCCGACGCGATGGAAACAGAGACTGCTCGTTGGGTACGGGAAACGCACGATTGGGGAAGTTCTTTAGAGTAGATCGTGCAAATCACACATGCCTTGTGCACAGTCTGACAGGAAGAAACAACGTGGACTACAAACAGGCATGCACCCTCCAGCAATATACACACACATGCAAGCCAGTAGCAAGGGAGGGATAAGGAGGTACAGGGCGCACCGGGTGCAATTCGTCTAACGCACGCTCTGCTGCACAACTTCTAAACCCAAAGATATACGTTGTTTTTTCACCCTTCAGCACACCTAAAGTGTCTCTGTCATCCTGCGCCGCCATGCAGCAGCAGCAGCAGCAGCGCAGCAGCCAAAGGGCTGATCCTCGGCAGAAAGGTTGCATACCACAAAACAAAACAGAGGCAGTACTGCTATAGACATATTGCACTGAATGATTCGAGGTAAAAGGCAGTCCCTGGATTCCTGCACTACGTAGTCTGCTGCCCGTTAAACCACCCTCTCCAACAACTTTACGTGTAGACTATTTGCCCGCGGTTGTTGGGAGAACATTGACATAATCACATCGGTCTTGTCAACCCACCTCGCAATCGATTGCAACACTGCCGGCGAAGGTGCAACGGTCGAGATCCAGATCGTGGTATCTGAGGGTGTACTTGACGGGGACAACGGTGTCCGGTAGACGGCATGATGTCTTCTGTCCCTCCATTGTTCTTCGAGGTAACGACGTTCCCGGCGTTGGCTATGCCCCGTGTCCGCCCGGCTGTGGCTCGATGTTGATCTACAGGTTCTACGATCTACGGAGATATAGGGGTTCCTTGCCGTGCGCATATGTGTGGTACACGTATATACCTAGCTTATCTGCGTGCTACCAAATCAGCAGATGTACAGCCCACGGCACCACGGCATGCCACGCTCCTCTGGTCCACAGGACGAAGGACTGTAACGCGTGTGTACGCTTATCAGACGCCTCTTCTCCCGTTTTCCTGGTGGTGGTGGTGAATCAGGACGGTGTTCTGCTGAAGTCACGTGCTACATTAGATCACCACGTGCGACAGAATCTCCCAAACAGCGAAAAGGGACACTGCTATAGTGCGACCCTACTTGCCGTTGTCGTGACCAACCGGGTGCCCCTCCTCAAAATGCTGAACACAGCGACCATGAAGATGCCCGAGGACCAGTTCCTGAACGTCCTGTCCTACCTGGTCGTGGACTCGGTGTTCGCGATGTCATCCACGTGCCGCCAGCTTCACGAGTGGTGCAGGTGACTTGATACTGCTGGTTACAGCAGTAGTAGAATCTCCGAACTCCGAACTGTACATTCTGCCCGAAATCGCCTTTCCTGTGTGCGAGCGAGCGGTGTGTGGGCTTTTTGCGTGACCCCAGTGATGCCTGAAAACAATATCCGACGAAGCCGATTACCTTCTTCCCCGCGCCTCGGAAGAGGGCTTGGTGAGCGTGTGCTCCATACGCGGTAGGCTTTGTGGCGGCTGCGTACTTTGTGGCCAAGCCACGTCACGCGGTCTGCAAAAAATCCGTCACTTTGAGACGCCTTTCAGAGAGCGGTCAAGGCAGAGGTCATCATGTAACCCGTTACTGCTACTGCTGTGTTGTGTGCGTACTGCTTGACGTAAATCTTTCGGTGTTTTTTCTAAACTGGTTATTATCTGATACAGCAGTTGTAGTGCGTAGAGTGACGGACACGTGGCCGATATGGCGCAACGGCCGCCGCGCTGAAGGCGGTTGCCGTTCAACGTAGGGGGGCAGCTTGCCGTGGGTTTATTAGATACTACCAGAGTTTTAGGGTTGTGGGCCGGTGCGGCAGCAGTACGGGCGTTATTGACATCCGTCACGTCTACGAGTACACTACAGGCAACCTGCCCAAAAGCCCGCATGTAAACCAGTCTCGGTTTGACCGTTAAACCCCCGATATCATTGACAGCGTATGCGAAACGAGGGAATCGTCCTCGCAGACGTTGGGAGATAGATATTGTACTCATACAAAAACCTTTGTAACGGCGATCTCCACAATACGTCGTGTAGCATACCGCCGTGTGTACGCGATCCGCCTTATTTACATCGCTCTCGCCGCTATTTGCTGCTGTTGCGAGCTGCCTGCCTGCAGACCAGAGCCAGACAGAACCACCCTACAGAACCACCCTTTGCCTGCTGCCTGCGGCCGATGCGGGCGGACTTACCCTTTTTGCCGAAGAAAGTTTGTCCAGATCCGTACACAAGGACTCCAAATGAGTAAATTGCAAATAGCGGCTCTTTCCCGGAGGGAGGGAAGAGTGCGGAGGGAAAGCGGTATTCGACAGCCTCTTTTTGTAGTGTTTGGCGTACTACTGCTGTAGGCGCTACCTGTCTGGGTGTTCCGCAGGCGTCTTACCATCTTTACTGCTGTCTAACTTGCAACACCGTGTAAATGGTCCCTGGGCAGTGCCGGCATGTTCCCGCCGAGAACACCGGCCATATACCAGGTGACCCGGCACTGCTGCTGAGGCTCCGTTCCTGTGTGTACCAATCTGTGAATCTATCTAAACAAACCCCGTGATTGGCGTTCATCCATCATCATGAACGTTGTTCAATATTTTCGACGTTCGCTGCGGTACAAAGAAGCCTGCTGTCGTTCTCCCAGAATTGCAGCAATTATCTAGTCCGTTTTGAGACCGTGGCGGCGGAGAAACAGCAGCAGCTCGTTCGTGTGGTGTATAATGTGCCCCGCCAAAAGCACCACGTTTATTGGCTCTGGCTGAAACCGTTTTCGCGCAGCACTAGTATCTATACCCCAGTGCTTATGTTTCCAACGTATTGCCGCACTCATGCCCACTCCTTTGGCGCGCGTTTTAAAACCGAGCAGTCTGTTTAAGGCGGTCGACGCCGGCGAGGAGGAACTGCGAAACGCGGACCTGGCGCTGCTAGTCAGGCGCTTCCCGGCCGTGAACGATCTCACCATCCGCTCCGCCTCCCGGCTTACGACAGCATACGAGGTCCTTGCTGAGGTACGTGAATGCCCGAGATAAAACGTTTGAACAGTTATCCCCCGATACGTTAACTGAGCGTAGACCTCCAAAACGGGTTGTGGGTGGCTGTGCAGTACTTGGTGTGTCTTTTGAAACATGTCCCCTTTTTTTTCTCTCGTCACGTCTCCACCGTGAGCGATTGTACCGGTCGACCTCTCGCCGGTATCCGGCGTGTCTGTCGCCTTCTCGCGAGCGTGCACAACACCTTGTGCGGACTCTCATGTTCCGCGCTACCGCGAAAGTGTCTGCCGGTCTACTTCTCTTCTCGCCCGCGGTGCCCCCAAGTATTATTTCGCGTTGAACCCGTATCCGTCTCCCCCGTATCCGTCTCCCTTGTGGCGAATTTTCGGCCCATCGGCCTGCCCCCGTCGTGCCTATCATCGAAATAGACGCTGCTGTTGTCTGGTTTCCTACCTTCCTGTCTCCAGCCATTCTTGTTTTTTTGTACTTTTTTTTTGTGCCCCGGCATACCAAACAATGGAGAGAGATACTTGTGTATTTTTTCTCGCCACATTCGTCCAATCGTTACTTTACCTGCTGTACCGATTGATTGGCAAGTTGGTTCGCGCCTAGCTTCTCTCTCTATATATATGTATATATATTTTTTTTTAGAACACACAAGAGTGTGTGCCTGAAGGCGCACAACAGCAACAGTGGCGTGAATATGTCGACTCGCGTTGACTGGTCTCACTTGGGTTGCTGGCATTGAAAAATTCCAGGCAGTAGACTGTTGCAGTAAAGACGGTTGAGGTTGGTGCGCCCGCAAGGAAAAACTGGTCTCGAACGGCAGTTGGTCACAAAAAATCCGTGGAACACTTGTCTGTAGCGGCAAGGCCAAATGAATGCAGAGTCGCCCACCCACAAATACCTACGGATGAAGGTTATCTCCCTGTCTGCGCGCACGCGTGGCAGCGAGCAGACCGAAGTCGGGGGGGTGGGGGTGTGTGTTGTTGCACAGCAATTATTTTCGGCTACCAAACTGTTGTGTTTCACTCAACAAACTGCTGTTACGCGCAAAAGATTATGAACTCTTGTTTTTGTTGCATCTTCTCGTCGCGTCGTCTTCTTTTGGCCGTGTGCGTGCAGATCGGGCCGCAGCTGGTGTCTCTCAAGCTGACCGGGGCGCGCATCATCCGGGACGACACGTTCCGCGACATGGTGCGCACGTTCGAGAGCATGAGGTACCTCTCGCTCGACGGCACCTTCTACGTCAAGAGCCAGGCCATCAACGCCCTCGCCAAGGCGGGGCAGCAGCTGCAAGAGGTACGGCGGTGTGTTTTTCGTTGCCGGTTTTTGGAGAGGTGTGTGTGGGTGTGTGCCCGCGAGCGTGTTTGTGTGTTTTTTGTTGAGTAGCATAGTATCGACCGCGCCAACCGGCTGACCAATGAACATAGGGCTGTGTTTGTGTGTGTGTTTCTTGAGTGCCTGCAATTTCGCGGGGAAAGTAGATACACGAGATCGTTAGCTTGTTGTTGCTCCCCTTGTTGTTCTCCTGCATCACATACCTCCTCGCTGTTTACTTGCGCCGACGAAGGATGGGACCGGGCGGATTCTGCTGCACCCCCTCGCTACCTGTAGCCTTTTTAGGGCATTGTGCGCTTCTCGCACCATTCTTGTCGCCGTACAAGACAAGGGTCCTCGGATGCTTTTTTGCTTCTTGTTTTACTCTGCCACCAACCGCCGACCCTCCCCACCCCTCCACTGAAGGTCTCATTGTGCGGGTTCCGCCAGCTGAAGGACGAGGACGTACAGTTCCTGCTGGACTCGTGCCCCTCCCTTTCCGTCCTCTCGGTGGCCGACTGCACCACCCTCGGCTCGCTCGTGCTCCGCTCCACGCAGCTCAAGACCCTCGACGTGTCCCGGTGCATCCACATCAGCGAGATGTCTCTTGAGACGCCAGGTGAGGGGGGGAGGGGAGGGTGTACACATAGTCGCGCATGCCATAGTCGGTAGTTAGACCATGGACCTGGCATCCCTACAACGCCGGGACGGAGCACGCCGGGTTCTCGCCGGACCAGGCTCTCACATCACCAGGCGCGAAGCGCCGTGGGGGGGGGGGGGGGAA